ACCGATAATTAAAGTTTATTATTTGCAAAAATATTTGGGATATTTTTTTATAAAAAATCCATCAATTTCAATCTAACCAAAAACAAATGATACAAAACTAAATTTTAGTACTGATTACTATTTTATAATTCTTAATTCCAAATATTATTTTAATTTTTAATAAAAATAGATCAGATACAACAATTACAACATTTTAATAGCCAAACTTGCCAGCTATATAGTGATGGCCTAATGGATAAATTATATAATTAACAAATCAAACTTTACAATATCCTTGAGCCTTGTTTTAACACATAAATAAAATATGCTCAGCCATAAAGTCAGAATATAAAATGATATGGATGTTTTAATTATCATACTTCAAGACGACAGATTGGCCCAATCCACCTTGCGCGATGTTTACTATTTCATTAGCAGAAATCCTGGACGTATAGCCCTGAACAATACCATCAGCAACAAAAACTGCGATATCTTCATATCTATTATCTTTGGTATTTTGTAAATAACAAAGTTCTTGTATTATCCATTCTTTATTGGAATTCATAACCTCTTTTAATTTGCCCTCCCAACTACTTTTAAAATTTTTTCCCAATACAACTTCTCTACCTCTGCTTGAATCACCTGCCTTGAGAACTGCTTTATGTTGTTCCAAAAAATTAAGATTTTTCGTCAAGTCGGTTTTTAATACTGAACAAGTTTTAGGAATAGCACCAGTCGTGTCTCTATCACTTAGGACGGCTAAAAATGATTTGTCAGCAGATATAAACATACTTTCAAACGAAGGAATTTGTGGTAATTTCAAGTTAGATAGCTTGAGTATCAGTTCTGAATGATCTACCAATCCTGCATGACATCTCCACAATAATCCAGTAGGTGCGAAATCGATAATGTCTTGGACGCCAACTTCAGAAAGATAGATAACTTTGGCTTCTCCACCCAAGATTTCAATTTGTCTTGCCACTAAATCACATTCTGGAACTGCTTCCGTAATAATAATGGCTATTTTTGGTCCTAACTTATTCAGCACATAATTTGCATAAAACGTTGGTGGGGGAGCAAGTGGAATACCGATTTTGTCAGCTGATGCTACTTTCTCAGTCAAACTTGATATTACCCAGCCAGAACAACTTCCTGCATTCAGTTCTAATACTTTAAAGTTCTTTTGTTGATCCCAGGCAAAATCAATTCTAGCTAAATTCATTCCAGTTTGACCATTTTTCCATAGTGATTTAACACCACCATATCTTGATTCCATCCATGATTCTACTTCGTTTTGATTTACTATTTTTAGCAAAGTTTCATTAGCTAATTTAAAAACAGCTTCAGAAATCTGTTTTAATTTTTCAAATTGGTTTGGTGATAGTACAAAATACGTATTTCTGCTTTCAGTTTTCAAAAACTCATCATCGACTAAGGACATGAGCCTGTTCATTTTTCTTTTAATTTAAAGGTTTTTTGTTAGATTGAAATTGATGGATTTTTTATAAAAAAATATCCCAAATATTTTTGCAAATAATAAACTTTAATTATCGGT